CTTTCCTCCTGGCTGTGACCTGACAGGCCTTGCTGCACCACTGAGTGGTTTGTGGCGCTCTGCTTTCCACTTCACACCCTGTGCAAGTGTGGTGACTCGGGGGGGCAGCTTGGTGGTTTGTTGGGAGAGCAGGATAAGGAGCAGCGCTTTCCCCCAATTGTGACCCAGTCCTGAGGCTGTGATAATAGACCCTCATGTTTGCCCATCTGAAATGGAGAGTGTGAGAAAGAGAGATAAGATGGGGTAGTTGATAGGAATGAGGGAAGGCATCGATTCTGTCCTCAGGCAGGCTGCCAAGGTGGTGAGGCTGTAATCGTTGCGTTCGGGGAACACTGCAGATGCAGTCACTTCAGTGCAGCTGCCAGTTGATTTTCCACAGATCGATAGACTCCTCCCTAGCATGTGCTAGCTAGGCCTTGTCTCTGCCCATAGCGTGGGAGCCTGTGTGCCACCTTGTCCTGTTCTCTTTCCAAAATGGGTCCTGTGAAGGATGGCCTAGACCCCATCCATAGTGTTACAGCTAGAGCCTTGTTAGCTCCTACAGGGCAGGTTTGCTTTGGAGAAAGAAGCCTCCCTCAAGGCAAGGTAGGCAAGTGTGCTAGAATCAAGATAAGGAGCATAGAGCCACGCATGGAGGTTGGTAGAAAAGGCAGACTGCAACCTAAAAGCTTGCCTGGCAGTCCTCTTTTAATGCCCTTTTCCTTCTCCGTAGCTTCCCTATGAGCTGCAGGACATGGTCAATAAGCATTTGCACAGCACTCAGGAGTCTGCAGGCCCTGGTCAAGAGGCAGCCCACACCTTGGCCCCATCTGATGTTGTGCCCACCTCAGTCATTGCCAGAGTCTTGGAGAAACCAGAATCTCTGGTTCTGAATTCAGCCAAGTCTAGCAGTGGCAGCTGTCCCATGGCTGAGGATGTCTTTGTGCACGTCGACATGAGTGGAGCCGCTCCTGATGCCTGCAGCAGTGTGGGGCCGATGGGGAAAGAAGGAGGCGATATGGGCAAGCAGCAGAACGGTGGCTGCAAGCCACAGAGCAGCATGGAGAGCGTGCCAGAGGAGGTGCCTGCCTTTGAGAAGCTAAGCCCGTACCCTACACCCTCCCCTCCCCATCCTATGTTCCCTGGGCGCAAAGTGATTGAATTCTCCGAGGACAAAGTAAGGATCCCAAAGAACAGCCCCCTGCCCAACTGTACATATGCTACACGCCAGGCTATCTCCCTCAGCCTGGTGCAGAGCGAAGATGAGAGCTGCGATAGGCACCGGACGCTCCCCAGCAGCCCTGCTTCCGAAGGGCATCGTTCAGCCTCCAGCTGTTCCTGTCAGCAGTCCCCCAAAGTGGCCAGGGCTCACGGCTCTTCCCAGAGCAGCCCGTTCAGCAGCCCACCCCAAATTCCCAGCGCCTTTGCCAGCTCTGCCAGCTCTGAAGAGGACCTGCTGGCCAACTGGCAGCGCATGTTTGTGGACAAGGCACCCCCCACCTCGGAGCGTGTGCTGATGAACCGTACGGCCTTCAGCCGTGACACGGCCCCTGAGCTGCAGAAGAGGTTCAGCCGCTCCATGCAGGAGTTGGGCAGGGCAGCCTCGGCTTACTCGGATGGCGAGGAGTCTGCGCAGAGCTGCAGCTGGACAGTGAGCCGGGACTCAAGCATGGACACAGACAGCACTGAGTCCAGGGCCCGGAGGAGCCATTTTTCCTCAGACTATGGTACTGATTTCTCCCAGGATGAAGCCCAGAAGTTGCTGCAGGGAAATGGTGGAGGCACTGCTGAGCCTGGCAGCCCCCTACCAGAGAAGCACAAGGACTATGTGGACCTTGGCCTGCCTGAGAGCCCTGCTGAGGAGAGAGAAACGTTGCTCCAGGGAAGCAAGGAGAGCAACCACGGATGTGCCCAAGAGGAGAGCGGAGAAGGCAGGGTCAAGCTTCCTGCCAGTCGGCCACACCGCAGCCCCAAGAGGATGGGGGTCCATCACTTGCATCGCAAGGACAGTCTGACGCAAGCCCAGGAGCAGGGGAACCTTCTCAGCTGAGGCAGGGGAAGACACAGCCACATGCTGCAGAGCTGTGGGATGCATCCATCTCCCCGCCTCTTGAGGGAGCAACCTCCCTCAGCACCCTCCTACCTAGGGGGACTCCGGGCTCTGCTCTGGAATTTTTATTTATTCTTTTTTGATACATGGAAGAGCTGGCGTCCTCCTTCCCCAGCACCTCAGACCCACAGTACTAGCACACGCAGTGTGCAGAAGCACACCCACTGCCCTGGCACACTCACAGCTCTGTTCACAGCCTCACACTGGTGCCTGTACCTGACCTCGCTCTTGGTACCCCCTTGTCCTGGTGCCTGTGCCTCCTTGTGCTCTGATCTTTCCTTTCTCCCTTCCCACTCAGGTACCTAAGGCCCTGGACTCTCTTTTATGCTGGTGCCCGCAGCTGCTCTGTTCTCTTTTAACTTGTGCCAACAGGGCAGAGTGCCTGTGCGGTGGTGTCTGATTCCCTGGGAGCCCCCAGGGGCCATGAGCGAGGCATGAGGACTCTGCCCCTGGATGGCTTGGGCCCCGGGGATGCGCGGGGTTTGCTGGTGTCTTAATTTCCTGCTGGGTTTTGTTTTCTCCAGCTGCCCTCTGAGCAGGTGATGCTGAAGGGTGGTTCTCCAGAATCTGCCTCTGCAGGTCCCTCTGCCCGGCTCACGTGCTGGGCTCAGCACTCAGCCCCCGCAGGGGCAACGCGCAGATCCCTGTGCTGTGGCGTTGGGAACTGGTGCTATCTCCACTGAGGTGGTTTGGGGAGGCCGGCCTGCACCCTTCCTGGGGTAGAAACGTCACCTGTTGGGTGCTGGGGTTTGTGTTTGCCTGCCTCCTCCCTCACACCTCTTCCCCCGTTCTCCATGCTGTTGTTTTGTTTGAATGGTGCTGATTCTTTGCTCTTGGGTGGGCTGCTTTCTTCTTTCCAAACCTTTGGTTTTGGGGTGTATTTTTTTTGTTCTGTTTTGTTTTCCCCGCCCTGCATAAACAGGCACAGCGGTTGGCAGCCAGTCTGTTGCCTGTGTTCAGGGTGTGTTGAGGAGGATGTGCTCTGAGCTGCGCTCCCTCTGATCCTGGCTTCCAGCCTGCAGCAAATCCCTCCAGACTCGGGAATAAGATTTCACCCCAGGTGAGCAAGGAGTGAAGGACACTGCTGGGCTTTTCTGGGCAGGGCTCCCTGCGGGGCTGGCAGGGGAGCGAGGGCAAAGTGCTGAGGAGCTGCTCCCTGCAGACGCACTACCTCACGGCTCGGCAGCAGCCCTTTGCCTGGGTCTCTTTACATGTCCCCATCTCTGGGGGGGGGGTTCCAGGCTCTTCGGGGCCTCTCCCTCTGGGTAGGGCCTCTCTGCGTGTTTTTCCTAGTGTGGTGTGATATTGCGTGACTTCTCTTCACAGTCTTGTGTGCTCAATGTCTTAATGGGGGGGAGGGGAGAGGTCTGTAGATGTAGGTGTTTTGGGGGGGCTTGCAAAGCCTGGTGTCCTGTTTATAATTTCCTCCTGTGCCCTTGTCCATCTGGTGTTTCTTAATTCCCCCAGGGGTATGAGGCAGAGCATCAGCCTCGTTTCCTGGGCTGTGTTCCTCTCGCACCCCGCCAGCCTGCTGTCTGTCTTTTGAGTTGGGTTTGTGTTGTCTTCCCACCATACTCGGTGAGTGCTCTTTGCTCTTCGGCTGTGCTGGAGGAGAGCAGCCCTCTGATCAGGAGGGAGCTCTTGTTCGGATGCCAACAGCAAGAGGTGCAGCCACCAGCTGTCCAGGGGCCTGGCTCCTCTCCCAGTAAACCCTGTCTCTCCCAAGGACCTACTGCTTGCTGCTGGGGGCAGCCAGGGCCTCAGCTTGAGCCTGGAGGCTGCAGGGCCTGTGAAAAGGAGCTGCAGGCCTCTCTGGTGGCTGTGTACATTGCTTTAGATACCTTAGTTATAGCTGCAGCCTGCACACTCGCCTTGCTTCCCACCTGTGACAGTTGCGGAGCTGGATGCATCCTCTGGAGTGGAGGTGGGACTTGGTATTTCACTACAGTATTTTACTTGATACCTGTGCTAACAGGCTGGTGCTGAGAGCAGAAGCCTCTTCTTGGCTTGCAGGGCGCTAATCTCCCCTGCCCTGGATGTGGGGTCCTTGTGTCTGCTCTCACCATCCACTCTCCTGCTGTGCTGCTTCTCTTCTGCAGCATTACGGGGGGCTGTAACCTGCGACGGCTGCCAGCTCCTGGCTGCTGGGAGTTGCTTGGGGTTGGGTGCTCACTGAGCAGCACCCCTCGCTCTGAGAGCGCTCGTGGTGTATTCTGGGGACAGCACAGCCGCTCGGGCTGGCTGACGTGAGTTACTTAGCCCCTCATCTCCATTGCAGCATGGGAGGCATTGCCCCTGGGGGCTCAGTCCCAGTTCCCCCAACTCTTGGCATGCTGGCCAGGGGGACAAAACCCACTCCGCTGCTGAAGCAGCTGGTGCTGATGGCAGAGGTGGCCTCCGCTCTGCTGCCGATCACAGTAGACAAAAAACAAAACGATGAGGGGATGAAGGGGCGGAAAGGAGTGCCTGTAGCCTTCCCAGACACCTTTGCTCTGCAGCGCTAGGCTGCTGGCAAGGTGTTGAGGGGAAGCCGGCAGCCTCGAGAGGAGCAGCAGCCCTCCCGGCAGGCACGGTGCCTGCCCTCTGCACTCCTACGCATCTCTGGCAGTATTGGCTCCGGGCCTTGAGCGGGCCCCACTTTCAATGTCCCAATTCCAGACTGTTAATCTGTAACTAATGTGTTTTTTTTTTTCTGAAATTTTCAAACTGATGTATATTTTAAGACCAGAAATAAACTATTTTAAAAGTAGGTGGTGATGACTGTAGTGCTTTCTCAACTGGGTAAAAGCTGGGACCAGACAAATGCTGTGTGTGTGAGGAGGCAGAGCCCCTTGTGGTGCTCTCTCCCACATTTGCTGAACTGAGTGTGCCACCCACTCGCTTTCCCAGGGAAAGCGAGCCTGTGACTTCTAAGCTTTCTGGGAGGTTACAGATTTACTGGTCAGCGTCTGTCCCACTTTGGCATTAGTCTGTTGAAGGTGGTTGTGCAAATCAAGTCTGGTCTGGTAGGAAGGAGGCACAATCCTGGGCAAGGAGTCATGTGTGGGATGAGCAGTGTTTTACTTCTGTAATCCTATCCCAGCACACGCTCTGGAGTGCCTTCTGGCTCTGAACACATCCAGACAGCTCACAGAGCAGGCTAAGCCTGCAGATCAAAACCCCTCACTTCTAAGTCAAGAATGACACAAGTACTGCTAGAAACTGCCAGTGATTTAGAAAAAGGGCTAATTTTTTGACATATTTCTACAAAGTTGCATGATTACTTAATGTGGGCATTTTTCATGTTGTTTAAAGGCTGTGCTGTAAGAGACAGCCTTATTCTGTCAAAACCTCTTTGCAGTGAACCCTGTTATGCTATAAACAGGCTCGGCATTACAGCAGAAACGTCTGCCTTCCCTATTTCAAGTGTTTTGCTGGCTGTCCAGCTTTGCTGAGATTTATGTCTCAGCAAAGACCTCCACATGCTGATCTCCTGCCTCCTGTGTAGGATGAAGTGTGGCTAATTCTTTTAATATTTGCAGCTTTTTCTGAAGCCCCAGCTCTTGAAGTTATGTGAGTATCAGTACTTATTTCAGAAAGTGAGTTATGTGGAAACAGGAGGAAGGTTAAGACGTCCTTTCTCTCGAGTTTCTAAGAGTTGTATAGCTCAAGTGGCACTCCTTTATATTTTTCTTTTTTGGGGGGAGGGGGAGAATGGGGTCGGTAGGAAGCCCTCCTGGCCTGAGTGAGAAGGAGTTCTTATAGGATGCTGATATGGGCACTTGAGAGACTTTTGATTACCTACTGAAGTGCACTGCAGAGGAAGGAGGACTGTGATGAGTTTTCCTCCTTCTCCCCAGGTGGTGCTGCCTGGGCAGGTGTCTGCAGCACTCTGCTCTCTTTCTGAAGCCTCATCCTGATGGAAGCGGGGGGAAGACCCATGGCACCTTCTGGGGTAGTCCTCTGGAAAGAGGCAGGGAAGTGTTTCCTGTTCCTTTGTCCCCATAATCAATGACTTTATTCTGTGCTCCCTCCAGCGGCAGCTGCTGCCAGTGTTTAATCCTCCAGCCTAATCCCAGCTTTGAAACACAATCTTCTCCCTTGTCTGGCTCCAGCAAGGTGCAAGGGGCACTTGGCTGAGCCTCTGAAACCTGCTGCTGGCTGGAGCCTGCAGGCTCGGGTGCATGGCTGGTGCCAGACGCCCTGCAGATGGGCTCCAGCCTGTCTCTCCCTCCCTCCCATGGCAGCAGGGAGACCGTGTGCAGAGCAAACCAGGCAGTGACCAGCCTCACTCCTGGGCCAAGCAAGGGTGGTGGAGAGGCTGCCAGCATCGCCCCTCAAGGAGGCCCCTACTCCCTGCATGGTAGAGGCACGAGGGTGGCTGGCCAGGCCTTGTTTGCCCAAAGGCAAGCTGGAAGGGACTGCTGCTCTCCTTTACCACGGTGGAGGAATTTAGCCCCCTTCCCCCCGGGCAGAGCCTGTGCTGGGCTCTGTCAGAGGACAGACAGGCAGTGCTTGGAGCCAGCATCCCTTCACTTGTGCTTTAGGAGAAAAGCTCTGGACTGTTAATGAAGGGGAGGGAGCCTGGCATCCTCGTTTTGCTCGCAGAGGCTGAAGTGCCTTCCCCCACTGGCTGATAACGCTTGCTTCGCGTGAGGGAATCCAGCTACCCGTCATACGCTCCTGCAGGCAGGAGCTCAGGTCTGCCGTGCTACACCTCTTCGTCACGTTTAGTAGAGACTGGCACACCTCGGGGGCGGTTTCTCTCTTCCTCCCAACCTTCTAGCGATGCTGAGTGCAACACACGGCTCTGCAGTGGGTAGGCCCACACGCACCGTGGGGGTGCCTGGTCCTCAGGGAACAGCTACGTCCTAGCTGCAGTTTTGGCAGGGAAGGAGAGCGACGGCAGAGACCGTGGGCCGGCACGGGGCCCCCAGAGCCTGCCCTGCTGCTGCAGCAAGCAGCCCGTGACGGTGGCTGCTGTCCTGTGACCACAGCCACGCTGCACGGTCTGGGGCAGCATATTTGCACACCGCTGCCTGTTTATCTGCTCGTAGCACTGAGCGGGAGGGCAGAGAAAGCTTCCAGGCTTAGCGCCTCAGCCACCTGCGTGCTGCGCTGCGGCCTCGCAAAGCAGAGGTGAGAACGTGTGTTGGGGGGTAAGAGCCTTGGGGGAAGCTGTTGCTGGCTGTGCAGCGCCTCAGCCACCTGCGTGCTGCGCTGCGGCCTCGCAAAGCAGAGGTGAGAACGTGTGTTGGGGGGTAAGAGCCTTGGGGGAAGCTGTTGCTGGCAGTGCCCCCCCCCACCTCTGGGCCCCACGTGGCA